CCTACCTACCTACCTACCTACCTCCGCACCTACATACATACATACATACGTACATACATACATACATACATACATACATACATACGCACATACACATGTGTATGTATATTTATATACGTACATGTATACATGCGCATACACAGCTATGTGTATGCCACGCTAGGTGGACCGACCAAGATCTGGGTTCATGTGCGAAAGAATCAGTCTGCGGGGCCAATACATGTCAAGGCCTGTTCGGACATGCAACGAACACAAGACTGACAGAGTCACTTGCTAGAGCGAAGGACATGTTTCACAGCCGCTAGACGATCAGCCGAGAATTGAAACGCAGATTCCGGCTGTCATGAGTTCTAGTTCCGAAGTCTCCAGCAGGACGCAGAAATCGTAAAGGCAGGCTTCAGTTGAGTTCTGTTTGCCAGTTTGTCTTCGTCCACCTGAGATTAACGCTGCTTGCGGCCTGCTTGTGACAGTTATGCGGCCTGTCTCGTCCAAAGACGAGGGCCTCCGAAACCTCAAGTCTTTAAAGGGTTGTGTAGGAATCAGCGCACTAACGTTTCGGGGTGTGCCCTGGTGTGCGCTTCCACTAGCAAGCTCTGTTGCAAAAACTTGCCTTGCTGGCCCTTTGCACTGAAGTACTGACTCCTCGCCAGCCTCGATTACTGCTGCTAGTCCAGATCCTTGTTCTTTACATCGCAAGAGTTGCAAGTCTAACACCCGTAGTTCCACCCTTCACCATTCGCTGGCTTTTCAGCTCAAAAGCATGTGGCGGCTTCCCGAAACCCAGGCACGGGGAGTTCTTGAAAAGTGCCGCTAGACCCAGGTACAGTTTTGGGGTTGCGGAGCTCGGGTGCACTCGGTTCCGAATCGGGGTCCCTGAGAATAGTACTCCCCTACCAAAGCAGGGACCTTGACGAAATGCTGCACAGACCTAGGCACTGCAAACCCATTTGATACCTTCGAACGCGGGAAATTCTGTAACAACCAAGGTAACCCACCCCAGTCTAGAAGCCACCACTGGCTGTCGGCGCAGTCCGCGTGGTAACACTTTCAGTTCCATATCAAATTGAGGAGTTTCTGTTTCTAGATTGACTGGCTTCTGGATTCTGAACCTCGGAAGCAAAAGACAGTCTTGAAGGCTTGTGGTGGCCAAGGCGTACAGTAAGGTCTGCTGCATGTCGAAGCTCCATCCCACACCCCAAGCCCAAGCCCTCCAGGTGGGTGATGGCGGAGAAAGAGAAAGACAAGAGGAAGACGAAGTCGGTGGCTCTGCCAGCAGATGCACCGGAAAGTCCGGTGGCTCCCAGGCCTCCCCGGTATTAAGCCCGAACAGATCTCGCCTGGCCCCACATTGTCAGGATTTCTGCTTTAATTAGACTTCCTGGCATGTTCAATAAGGATGAAATGCTGCCGACTCCCCAAGCCTGAAAGGCTGCAACAGCTGGCAAGATAGACATCTCTACACTGAGCAACTTTTTTGTCAGATTTCCTTTTGATAGCCTGGTCACGGTAGCTTCGGGGAGTTCAAGCCGGGGCTCCGAGCCCTTCAGCCGAGCCCGATGATTATATGTACATGGATCTGGATCTGTATATCATGTACTGTATATATACACATGCACACACACACACATCTGTATATATATATATATATATGGACATGTTTGTTTGTTAATTGTTTATGTATATCCACTACTTCATATTGTAGATGTATAATACATGCAACTTTGCCTGGAGACTTAAGGCTGGACTTGCCATGTCGGGCAGCGACAGACTTGCCATCCCACTTCAAACAACCCGGAAAACCTTATCTTTACATACACATAAGTAACTTCTAGATGTATAATAAGATTTTCAATTGGATATAGTCATATATATATACACATATGTTATATACATGATCAGCTAGAACGAATGATACTACATGTGTATGTACCTACACATGTACACCCCAACCCGCATTCGATCCGGACCCACCTTAGGGACCCAAGGCCTAATGCACCTGAGCCCGAAACCCCTAAACCCTAACCCGTCAACCCCTAAACCCTAGCCCCTAAACCCCTAAACCCTTGACCCTGAGCCCTAAACCCTGAACCCTCAACCGCAGCCCTCCCTGCCAGGAAGAGCAATGGTCGGAAGAGCCTCGGCCGAACGGGGGGCTGTAGATTGGATGGAGTTCAGGGTTCTCCCTCCACATGGGAGTTTCCGAAAATTAGGGGTACCTTATTTGGGGGTCCGTATATTAAGGATCCTATTATTCAGGGTACTATATTAGGGTTCCCTATTTTCGGAAACCCCCACATCCTCGGGCGCTTTCGAATGGCAAGCCTTTACTCGAACACCTCGCAGCTACAGGTCTTGAGCAGGTTTATGGAAGAATATAGAAGCCTAAATAAGTACCAATATTGTTCCTTAGGGTACCTTATTATGAGGATACTATAAAGGGGCCCAAAACCCTATTCTATTCATTGCGGCCCCTAGCTTACTCCCTCGCGTCTCAAAATTTTGGCCGACCGAATGCCCCTCTGCCTGAGGAGCGCCCACCCAACCTTGAGCAGCTCCCCAGAGGACCGGAATTTGTTTAGGGTTTAGGGTTTAGGGTTTAGGATTTAGGGTTCAGGGGTTTCATCTAATGTACTAGGGTTTAGGGTTTAGGGTTCAGGGGTTTCATCTAATGTACGACAGTATAGAAATCTATACGCATCTGTAAGATAGTATGTTTTGGAGTTTGGGTTCAAGGGCTCCAGTTTTGGAGTTTGGGTTTAAAAACTCCAGGCCGTGGGTTCGATTTTTGTAGTTGAGCCAAGGTCGGGGCAGTTCGTGCAAATGCGGTGGTTCTGCCGATTCCCCTGGTAAGACTCCACTATCCACTCTTTGCCTTCCGGAATGTGGCATGTGACCCTTATAGCATCATGATCAACCCCATGATCCTAGAGATTTTTGTTTCCACTCACACCCTACCATAAACCCGCAACCCCGGAGAGGCCTTGCCTGCCCTGTGCGAGAGTGAGAGTTGAAACATCCAAAACATCCCTTCAACCCTAAGCCTTACATCCTAAACTCTTGAACTCTTAAACCTTAAACTCTTAAACCCTAAACTCTTAAACTCTTAGCCCCTAAACCCTAAACCCACTTTGGTTGTGAATGATGGCTTGCCTGTTTGGCGACTCCCGAAGGACGTGGCAGACCCAGAGCCCGGCAGCCCCAAAGGCACCAAGCATCGTTGCTAGTGGGCTTAGGGTTTCAGGGTTTAGGGTACAAGGCGATTGCACAAGTCTTGATACAAAAAGTGTACAGAGCGTAGGTTTTCGGGTGCATGAGGCACTGAAGATTTCGTTTACATGAGCAGCAGTGGAAAATGGTGGCCACGGTCGTGCTACTTTGTTTCTGCAGTTCGCGGTAAGAGAAGCATTTTTCTGGTAGGTAGTAGTGGTGGTAGTAGTCGTAGTAGTAGTAGTAGTCGTAGTAGTAGTAGTAGTAGTAGTAGTAGTAGCAGCACTAGTAGTATTAGTAGTCGCAGCAGTTGTTGTCGTACTTGTCCTCAGCAAACTTGCGGGTATCAAGGCAGCACAGGCTCCAAACTCCACACCAGCAAGGTCGCGCCCCGGCCGCAAAGCGGCGGGTGACGTCTCTGTACTCCGAAGAGGAGCGGGCAAGACGAGGTGCGGGAACCTGGAATTGGGGCTGAGGGTTGAGGGCCCACAGATCCAGGCATGTGCTGTTCAAGGTTTGCATGGGTACACCAGGCGCACCAGAGGATTGAATGGAGGCTGCAGGCATACACTATGTATATGCACATACATCCACACAAGCACATGTATATATATATATATATATGTATATGAACATATATGTTTCGGTTCTCGTTTTTGTGTTTGTGTGGGGTCATCTCGCCACGGCAAGACTCCAGGATCGCATGGTGGAATGTCCGTCCTGGCGATCGAAGCGGAGCTTGCAAAGTTTCAGATGCTCCTCAGCGGGATTCTGCCTCATTTTGTGGTCTTGAGTTAATTTTAGCAGCTTGGTCATGCTGGGAGTGTGACGGTCCTAGCAGTCCTAGCACTTTGGTTAGCATCAAGAGCTTGGGCATCCCCGAGCATTGCCACAAAAAGCACAGCTCGGAACCAACAGAAATCCGAAATCGTGACAGCACGGCCTTGCAAAGGTTTTCGGGATGCAGCTCCGAGATGATCTCGGAGCTGAGCCGATTGACCACAAGCAGGATATGCAATGAGGGCCAGGCGACGGACTCCCAGTGTTATTGTTGGTGCAACCGTTCTGAAATCTGCATCTCAGGGAAATGCAAGGCTTCGACCATGTCCCGTAGTTGTGTATTGTGGCGGTTGTTCTGTGGCCTTTCTACGAGGTGATTTCCTGTGAATTGGTGTGCGATGCAGGAAACTGCGGAAACCAATTTTTTCAGCAGTTCCCGAAAATGTTTTCTTTGGCGTTGGGTCGATAGTGAAGTCAGACCCGAACTTAGCGTGGGGCTCCTTTCTCGGCCTCTGCGGCCGCGAAGTAGGTGCTCAGGTCGTCTTGGGAATCGAGTCCTGAGCCTTCACTTGCGGTGGATCAAAGACAGGGGCGGCTAACAATCTCGCAGTGAAGTGAGTTCATCGAGAAGTGTTGCTTACTGATTGTTTCACTGTTGGTTCTAATTATTAATTAAAGACTCAAGACTAGCATCACTATTGCCGATACTGTTTCCCGCGTTTCCATGGGCCCTGTCCAGAGCACTGCGTTTCTAGACCAGTGCAGCCCTGAATCCCAGGAGTCGATTGAAACCTTGGTACGCTGACCCGACACCTTCACCTCGGCCCCAGACCTCAACCAGCCCAGAACTTTCGCAACCCTCATGGGGGTTTCCGAAAATTAGGGTACCTTATTTTGGGGTCCTTATAATAAGGATCCTATTATTTAGGGTACTATATTAGGGTCCCCTATTTTCGGATACTCCCTCATCTTTCTCCAGGTGATGCAGGCCAAGGGGGACCACACGGATGCGCTGCTGATCGTTCTCCGGGGCACGCTCAATATTTTCCTGGGTGAGGAGTGCCTCGCACACGATAAGACGAAGGATGTGAGCAAAGAGGGAGATCACACCTTCCTCTTCTGGGCCGCCAAGATCACCATCGTAAGGAGCATCATCGCCATATTTATCATCGTCGTCAACACCGTCACCGTTATCGTTGCCATCAGAATTAGCAGTAGCCAGCACCAGCAATAGCATCATTGCCAGGTAGTGGAGTGCTAGAGTAGATTGTGATAGCTGCATGCCTCCTGCAGCCACGCCCTGTGCTGGTGCGTTGCTGCAGGCTGTGCGTTCGTCCGTTTCTAGACTGCCTAGCTTGTCAGTCGGGCCGGTGACATTCGAACTTCTTAGCTCAACTCGTTGTGTCTCGGGTGCCCTGGCGAATATTCAGCAAATTCAGCACATCTGCAGGTTCGGTGCTTCATACTACGACATCGCTGCAAACACTAAGGTGCATCGGGCAGATGCGGATGCTTGGCCGGATTAGCAATGTAGCTACCAGGGCGAAACGAGGCTGTTGAAGACAAGCGCAAAGACGGCTGACACATCCGTGGGTTCACGATTTCATGGGTTGGTATCCTCGAGTCTGGACGCAGTTTTCATGTGAAGTTGTGGGTTTAGGGTTTAGGGTTTTAGGGCTTAGTGCATTGTAGTCCCTGCTCAAAAAAAGGGCATATGCATAGGCATACGCATAGTCCAGGTATAAAAGGGTTTCAGGGCTCAGGGTTTTAGGGTTTACGTCCAGATGTCGCACAACCAAAGACACGTTCTGCCGGACCCTGCGGCGTGAGGAAAGGGGACCACGTGGGTGAGACCTTTTTCCTCGCTGTGGAGGACTTCGAACAGAGCAGAAGTTGATGGAACGGAGAACACCTGTCTAGTGTCCTGAACAGACTGTCATGATCCTTTGTCGTTTGGAGGCATAGTGGCGAAACGGATCTGTTGATTGTAAGCTGTTCGCGCTGTGCTGGCCTATGGCGAAGCCCGATGAGTTCCTCCACTCCCCCTGAAAGAGGACCTTTGGAACATACAGCTCGTCGCCGCCGAGTTGGGTAGCTGGCCTTCTTCTATTGTTCAAGCTCGAGCGCCAATGTCCCGGCTTTGAACAGTTTGTTGTGGCACTGTGGGCATTGTCGTTGTTACTAGGTCGAGCTCCCTGAAGTCATTCCTACTTCTGCTGTAGTTGCTCGGAGTCGTTGTCTCATTCATCAACGTAGCGGCTGTCGTAGTATCACCGCAGCTGTGCCTTTGATGTTTGCTAAGCTTCTTTTGGGGATGTTTCCACGGCTACCATTGCCGATGATTTACATCTTGTTAGGTTATTCCTCATGCCAGCAGGGTTCTCTCAGTGTCTTTTCTATTCCAGGGTTGGAATTTGTGCATGTAGTTTATGTTTGGCTGTTGTGGGGGGTGAAGTGGCGTGCAAGCAGAGAGGATCTGGGCTGGCTGTTGACCATCACTTGAGTAAGTGGATGGGTCGTGCATTTGGGCGATTGCTGATAGGCCCTACACTCCTGAAGCCCTACTTCTGCAAGGTATGGTGTGCGACGTCAGCCGCGAGGTCGCTTGCTGGCTGTCCTCAAAATGGGGGTTTCCGAAAATAGGGGACCCTAACATAGCACCCTTAATAGTAGGATCCTTATTATAAGGACCCCTAAATAAGGTACCCCTAATTTTCAGAAACTCCCAAATGCAGTGGCTCCCTGTCAACGAGCTCCGGAGGTACTCCAAGATGTTTTGAAAGATTTCCCTGCAGACAAAGAGCTGCTGAATCCGAGCCTCGCCAGCAGTCCGGGGGATGCGATACACTTGGAGGTTCATGGGTAGTTATAAGTAGAACCCATATTAGGGGACTTATAACCCCACTTATAACTACCCATGAACCTCCAAGCAGTGAACAGCTCTGAGGAATCCTTTTAGAGGCTGACGTCGAGCATCAGAAGCTTAGTGCATGGTGCTGGCGCATGATGCCAGGCCAAGGCAGGAGGTCCTGTGTCACTTTCAGCCATCAACCCCAAGAGGTAGAATGAACACGGGTGAAAGAAGCAGGCCCAAAACCTTTCACCTGATAGAAACGACGGTAAATGCTTGGGCGGGTGCTGTGCAGGAGCGCAGCTCAGTTTATTGCCAAGCCCAGCTGCGCTTGCTTAGGGTCGGACTTCTTCTCAAGCGCCTTTGAAACTGCAGCGAGGAAGTGTGAGGAGGAGAATAGATGTAGTCACAGTTTTTCTGGTGACCGCATCGTAAAACGCTAGTAACTAATACAATGTAGCTTTTGTTTGCAGCTGCCGGTTGCAAAGGTATTTGTCTCAGCCGCCCCACGTGCACCTTCTCACGTCTGAGCGCATGCTCCAGAGCCCCATCTTCGCACAGCTCTCCGAATCAGCTTGGGAGGCCTGTTGTGGGTTCTCCTTTTGGGCCTTCGCATCGTGCTTCGCCGATTTTTCCATGCTCACAATGTCCATCCTTCGGCATAAGTTTAATAAGTGGGCCCTCCGTTCAGGCTGCTGTTGCGTTGATATGCATCTTACCTATAGTCTCCATTGTAGTTCCTTTTGGGGGTTCCCTTATAGGATCCTAAATATAAAATTGGTTTAACGAAAAAAAGCAACTACAATGGAGACTATAGGTAGAATCAGGTCGGAGTCTGCATCCTGGTGGAGCAGATGTTTGGCTTCAGAGTGAAGTAGCAAGAGCACTAGGCACCCCAGTTTCTCTTCCTGTTTCCGCTCTGCAGATCTTTCGGGACAACATGGTCCGGCGCATCTTTTTCCCTGGCGAGACGATTTTGGCCGAAGAGTCCAACCAGAAGTATCTGGCACCTCGGGAAAGATGGCCGGAATTGCTGCAGGTTGCAGTCATGTACATATCGTTCTTACTGACAGATCATGAACGAAATTCACCATGCGAGCCACAGGCCATGAGACGATTCATGAATTCCGATAGAGTCCCATCTAGGACCACCGGATGCGCAGCCAAGGTGCTTCTGGCGCGTGGGGCCGCAAGCATCGAGATTGCAGGCTCTTCTGTGCAATAGTATGTCGATGTCCCGTCAGCGTTATGGTTCTGCAATCGTTCTCTGTCCGGAGTTGCTGCCGGAGTTAGTGTTGGACATTGCTAGCAGAACTGGGGTTGGATTATCTGAATCTGAGATCTGTTGCAAGGCCGCACAATTCGCGTCGAGCGCAGGGGCGAGTCTCTTAGAGGCCTGTCCCAGCGCGAGGGAGTGGCGATGGAGCAGGATGTCCCTGGGCATATGATGGCTTAGTTGAGTCATGCAGCATACAGTTGCAACAGCTAAGCCTGTAAACCATGGTGTCTAACATTGCTGGTGCTGTCGATTTGCGCTGATGGTTTGCGTCCACGACTGAGTTGCTACTACTTGTCCTGCCGCTGTTCTTGTACAGGCCATGTAGCCGATTCACTCAGTAGGGAGATTGAAAGTCGCTCATTCCAGACAGGCAAGGACTAGCCCTAGGGCCCCTCCCTACTTACTTAAACTGTCATTCTCGAAGCTACACTCACAAGAATCGCACCCCGGAGTCAAGGGCAGAAGCCCTCCTCCTTGCTTAAGGTCGGAGGCTTTTAGAATGCCACCCACGCTTCCACCTGGGCAAATCCTGAGGCAAACAGCTCGGAGGATGCGGTGCATCCTGCCGTTTCTTGGACGAAGCAAACACGTGTGAAAGCTCGCGTGGGGACGACTGCGCACACCAATTTATTTACACCGGCTTGATTCCGGTTGGCGAGCTGATCGTATCTTTGAAGACTAGGCATTCACGGCTTGAGCTTGGCTTCTAAAGGTTGTATCTGTATTAGCCTGGAATCCTGTGCCAAGTCAGGTCCTCGGTGATGCAGAGTTCTTGGGCCTGAATGACGTCCGTGTCTGTTCGGTTAAAGCCGATGCGGACCCTCGGATGCAGCTTTGTCTGTACAGTCTCGAGAAGTCTACAAAGTGTGTCCCTCCTGCTCGTAGGCATCACCCCACATGATCTGACCCTGCTGCTGGCATTAGAGACCTAGCTACACAAATGTAGCATCAACAAGGAGCGCACGGCGAAGAACAGCCAGTGAATCGGTTTTAGAGTTTTTAATGCCAAACAAAGAACCCAAAGCCTGAGGAATGCCACTGTTGGCTCATTCCTGCGCCGGTCCTGGCCAAAGCGTTTGCCAATGGTGAGAACGAGACGTGGTTGCAGCTGCAGCCATCGACGCTTAAGCGATAGAATATCGGTTCTGCTGGGTTAAGATTTCCCCTTCATGGGAACACCATCTTGAGGAGAGTCTCCTGAGGGATCTGCTCGCTCTCCGCGTAGATCGAGGCAAGGGCGAGCTGTGTGAGATCTCAGCTGTACATATCTTCACCGAGCAATCTTATGCGGTCATACCGGGAGATACATCTGAGCTTGCTCTTGAGGGGCGGCTTGCGGCTCAGCTTAGATTCAGTGCATGGCAAACCTATGTTCCATCGTCTCGTCATTCGAGAAGCTGATGTGTGGTGCGATTCTTGGCAGGCAGGGTGGACGGTGGAAAGCTTAGCGTCCTCAGCATTTTTGACGAGGCTGGCTGCAGACACTTGGACCCAACGTAGCACCGGTGGCATGGTAGTTGTTGTGAACTGAAGGAGCCCAGCTAGCCTGCATCGCCGAAACCTTTGTTGTATGCGACGAAGACAGGAATCGGAAATTGCCCGAGGGGGCTGCGGGGAATCCTGGGCTACGCGGGGTTGCACGAATAATTTTCGGGTTCGCCCTCATGATATCGAAGAAAGGTCGCCCGAGGCTTAGCACCTCTGAACCAGGGTAGTTCTGAGACATACCTCAACTGAGAAAGCTACCCCAGTGCAGTCAGGGCGCGAAGTTTTCAACGACCTGATCAAAGCTATCCTTCATTCGGTCTTACCCGGCAAGGCAGTTTTGCGGACCCGAGCCCCGGCAAACCCTCGAGAACTAAGAACCGAAGTCCTTGGCCTGGGCTCCCTTCCCAGAGAACCCAATTCATTTTAATTGAATGAATATAACTTAGGTCACAGAGGCCGTAAAAGTTGAGGCCCCGTGGACCCAAAGCGAAGAAGTGATAAGGGCTTAAGGACCCTAAACCATGGGAATTATGGTATATTCCTTATTATGGGTAGCCAGGGTTTATATCATAACCGTAGAACTACACCCTGCTCGCCAAAACAAAGACAGAAACCCAGATCCAAGACGGTTCGGGACCGAGGCTTCGACTTCCTCCGATACCTCCAAACTCACTTTGAGGGCCGCATCTTTGTTCAAGGCAGAGCGCAGCTTCGAGGGATCCGAAGGGGCCTCCGGTAATCAGAGAGAGGGTCTGCAAAGTGCCTACTTGTAGCACGAGCTTTAAGCATTTTCGGCATGTCAGAAATCCGGGACTCATGGGACTCCAGCTGGTCGTGGCGGTTAAGATAAGGAGGACTAGCATGGATTTGTTGTTTAGGGTTTCTGCATCAGTTTCCATTCCTTTTGGTGAGAGATGCTTGGGGCCTGTGAACTGGTGAGTTGTGCAGCGCCAAGAATAGGCTCAGGAGTGCGATGTGAGTGAGTGCCCTGAACCTTTAACCCCACGGTTGGAAGTGGGGAAATGGGGCTTCCAGCCCCAACCCGTGTCAGGCAAGACCATTTGCGACTTCGAGATTCCGATGGGCCACCGCGTGATGCACATCGTCACGAGCGGCTACGCTGCGTCCGTAGGTGAGACGGATCCTCGGATCTGGAATCTGGGGTTGACCGGGCTTTTGAGGTCCTTATCCTGTAGGTGGGAACTCTCCTTTTCTACCAACAGCCTTAACCCTTCGCAAGCCCTAAGCCCCGTAAAGCACTTTAAACCTTCAGCCTTCAGCCTTCCCGGCGGCAGTAGATCAAACTAAAACTACTGGTAATGGCTGAACACAGCCTATGCGCAAAACCCTCAGGCAACACCCAGCCCCAAGCATTTGCCTCGTTGCAGAACACGCAGACCCTATGAACTCTGAGCTTTAAGCCGCTTAAACTCTGCTAACACCCGGCTTCGCAAGCTGATGTTCCTCGTCCGGCATCGCCCGGTCGCTGGCTGTGGGTGGGTGCGGAAGAAGTTTTCAATATTCAAGATCAAGCATCAAATTCAAGATCTCTGGGCTGAGCTCCACGGAGTCGAAAGCTGAGAGCCCCACCACCAGAATGGTGCCCAGAACCCTCCAATGTGCGAGAAGCGTGTTGGGTCGCTGCTATCAGGCCGCCCCTTTGGCCGCCACCGGAGAAGGGGGAAAAACTCAGTTTCCCCACAAATGCGGCCCCGTGGAAGATTAGTCTTCTTTCGTCTCAGCAGCCACTGCACGCTCCCCGCGTCCCGTTTCAGACCGCGTTGTCCAGGCGCTCCAGCCTCAATCGCTCTGGGAATTTCGCATATTTCACTGCGAGGTAGAGTTGGTGTGCAAAGACGTCTGCGGGCTGAACTTGGAGGATGTGTGCGGAGATTTCACGCTGTTCACCAGCCATGGTAACCCCTTGGCAATGAAAGTTATATGACTCCACAACGCGATCAACACCTATCCGACCTATCCCAGCCGGGATCGGGAACCTGATGGGCTTCAAGATCTTGTCGATACTTTCCACATCAAGGCACACCCAAACCATCCGCTGTCGATCCATGGACTTCTCATGAGGGGCTTCTTTCAAGGAGTCCGAAGCCCTGTAGACCTGTAGAAAGACGAGGCTTCAAACGCCAAAGGTCGTCTCCATGAGGCCAGACCATGCGTAAAACCCAAGATGGTAGAGAGCGTTTGAATCAAATTTTTAGCTTTTTCTTCCAGGCCTGCTCAAAAGCCGAGTCTCGCCTTTAAGATGGGTTCTTGCAGGCCTTGGAGGGCTTTGGGGGCCGTTGCTTGCAAGGAGCAGACTCGCACGCTGGCAGCCAACACTGTCTTCGGAATGATGAGTGCCCTTGGGGTGGCGCCACGCCCCGCTAAGGTGAAGAAGGCTGCGCGAGGGGGCATGCTGGAAACGAAAATCACACCGGCTATTCGCGCCTCATGAATGCTGCGGCCCCGTAGTGACTCCATCTGTTTCCTGCAGGTGGTGGCAGTGAAGCATTGCTACTGCCAGTTGCTACACCAAGCGGTGGTGGTTCGGGCTCTGGAGCTTTTCCCGGACCAGCGAATGAAGGCGGGCTTGTCGTGCCTGAGAGGTTTCATCGTAGTTGCACAAACGCAGACTTACCGAGTGTGTGGATTGTCAAAATTGCGGCAGCAACAGCACCGCATGTCCGTCAGCCATGCTTTCGAAAAAATGTAGAAGCAAGAGCTAGCACTTGGCACTCAACACAACCGAGCTCTGCACGGAGTCCTTCACTGTCCCAAGCCTGCACCACAAGACCAGCCTGCGCTTTCCACAGTATGATTCTTCGTGCATCGAGGTGCTGACACTCTCCAATGGTGGTCAGGACCATGACGGCAAGGGGCCAGCCTAGGAAGGCAGTTAGACCAGGTGAGCGATTGGTATCCTTTGGCTATGGCAGAGGCCTATGGGTGATAGTAAGTGCACGACCATGCCGAAGGCGCATCGCTCGCTTCACAGTATGCAACCAATCGTTGCCAGTCCCAGGCAAGTGCCTTTAGTTTCGGATTCGCGGTATGGTTTGCCCCTGAAGGAGACAGACACGGCGGATCTGATCGAGCGAATTCAGTGCTTTGACTGAGCAAACCATGCAGAACCCACCCTCGAGTCCTCGACACGGCTGCAAGCAATATTCCGCGGCTGCCACGCTTAGGAGTATAGATTGGTAGGACATGAACCTCTTTTGAATTGCAAGGCGTAGTTCTTGCGTCCGGGGCGGTACGGCAAGTTGCTGGGACAAAGTCGTGTGGATGTAGAGATGTTGGCTGTGGCCCGGAATCTGAGACTGTAGATAAATGGAAGGGCGAGTCATTGCTTGGATGTGTCGGTTTAGGTTTACAGAGCCTCCAAGGAGCTTTCCGCTTGTCACAGTGTCTCATCAGGAATTCGCCCTTCTTCGCGAATACAAACCCGGAGTTCGTCATGGAGCTGGCGAACGCAGCCGTAGACAGGATCTTCATGCCTGGTGATCTGGTGGTCAATGAAGGCGCACACTGTTGGTTTGGTGTTTGGCGCAGAGCATTAAGTGTGACAGTTCCTAGTTGCGTTGACTTCTGCAGTACCTCTGTCTGCCAAGCATGCTTGGCTGCCATGTTCTTTAGGGTCATTAAGGCTCAGGCTTCTTGCTGGCTGAATTATTTCAGCATGGCAACCTCTTCCAAACTTCTACGGCATGAAGGAACACGTTTTGCCCATGAACCCTTTCCGGCCAAAGGGAGAGAGAGCGAACTTTGCGGGTGCATTGCGCAACTTTCTGACAAGGCGAGGTCGGCAACTCCATGTTTATCTTGCTCAATGGATCCGCAGATGTTTATGCAGCTGGGACAGAAGGACAGAAGTCTCACTCGCAAGGCTCAAGAGACCCAGGCCATTACATGTTGACTCAGGTCAGCGACAAGAGCAAGGACAAACAGGAGAAGGGGCAAGTAGCCAAGACACTTGGACTTCTGCAAGCTGCAGGCGTACCTGTTTTCTAATTGTAGCAAGACAGGCTGGATTGTTTTCCGTTTTGCCGGCTGCTGCTGCTTCATTCATGCAGCTCAGGAAACATGACACTCAGATCAAGCAGATGATCCGCGTTGGGCACTTGAACTCGGGGGCCATCGCAGGCTGGCGACTGTCTGGGGCACAGGACATCACAGCACTCCATTGACTTGTCAGGCGAGCTGGCCATGCTTGGAATATCGCAGACTCGTTCAGCCACCTTACTGCAAGCTGCGGTTTCAAAGTGCCTTCTTGAGCCGTAAGAATCGCCAAGTGAAGCTAACAGGCTCAGGTTGTCATTGTCGGATTCCGTCCTTGACTCCCGCAGCGAAAGTCAAACTCAGCTGCATCTCCTGAGGCAAGTATTCAGGCCTCGACGCTCTGCGTGTTTTGGGAAGTGACCCAGGACGACAAAAGGGCTAGAGTCTAGAGCTTTGAGTTGCCAAAAATGTCTGGAAGGTCCTCCCTGTACAGAATGGATGCAAGGCGTTTCATGGTGGATTGGTGGGGTCTTGCGACGCCAACTTAAGGAAGTATTTGTAGAAGCTGCAGTAGCACAAGGAGTAGTCCTGCTCGTGGTGGCAGTTGCCGCTGGTAATAATTTCTTTGTTTAGGGAGAGGTGGGTCGGAAGCTGTAGCAGCTAGTGCGGGCGAGGCGCGTTTAGGCGATTATACTCGAGGAGAAAATTCTGCTGGAAATGAAGAAGCGCCTGCTTTAGCAAAGTCTTGTCGAGCGCTGGTCTCAGCGTGGCGAGCTGTCCAGGAACCATTGAGAATCCATGTTCTTGATCCCGCCATGCCATCTTTCTTACCCTTTGTGATTTAACAACTCACTTGCGAATCCCTGCGCTGCAAGCATATTCCGACTCGTTCAGTCGTTTGCGAAGTTTTCGCGCATGTCTGGTCCAGGAGAGAGCCATGAATATCCTCGACCGGTTTCCGGAAGAGCAGCGTGGCGAAAAGCCGAAATCTTTCGAGCCTCAGAAAGGTAACGATGCTCTGAAACTCGGATGCCCCGACCTCTATGAATGCAGAGCTTGAGTTATGTCTGACCGACTACAGCAGCATTTTGCTTTAGTTGATGGTAAACCCTCGCAGAAGTGATGCTTCCTGCCAAGGCGCCAGCTGTTCAGCAACGTTATCGTGCAAAACCTGGATTTTACTGTGACGGGCCGGCTCATGAATCTCAACCTCTTCAAGGGACCCCCGTCTGCAGAAAAAAGGGATGTCTAAGCCACTGCACGGTCATGTCGAGCTGCCAGAAGTCGTCGCGGGAACAGTTGCGACAGGTGCCACATGTAGCAAAGTGCTCCTCCAAGGAGCATGGCTGACATGCCATGCTCAGTCGAGGTTTTGACCGCAAGTTCCGGAATTTGCTGGCCCTCTACTGCGAGCGACATGCTTTTTTCCCGGACCATGCGGCCACGCGAGAGGGTGAGAATGGGGACAAGCTCTGCCCTCGGTGCTGTCATGAGATTTTTGCGTCCAATCTTCGTGTATTTTGTGTCTCAGGCGTAGCAGCCATCCCGCAAGTCAGCCAGTTTAAGTGTCGTTGCTCCTAGTCCGACGACCGGAGAGCGAGCTCCAAGACTTGGCTGTGGCATGGGGCAGCAAGACATTGCGAGAGTTCCGAATTCTGAGGTTGTGGATCATGAACTCTGGCCCAGCACAGCTGCAGAAACGAGGTTTCAAGGCAAGTTGGGCATGCAACCAAACTCCAGTCTGGCCCCGCACCTTACAAAGTTGCAAGATGAGCTGTCGCGCAGGTCAAACTGTACACACCCGGCACCTACTTTGGCAGCGACAACATGCTTGGGCCTGCGGGATGCATGAAGGCAAGGGCGTCTCGGACTGCATTCGGCGGCCTGTCTGCCGAGGATTTCTCGAGCCTATATCGGCAGCCTGGTGGCCATGACCGTTTGCCACATGCTCTCCCTCTCACGCGCCTCGGTGGATCGTGCAGTCAAAGGCTGCTATTGTGAACCTGAAACATAGACGAACAGGTCAAGCGTTGTCTAAAGACAGCTTTCAGGTTTGAGCGTGCGAGTTTGTGAGCTCTGCTCCACGGGTGTGTTTTGGTAAGCTTGCTACAGGTGCCTCCTACCTCCATGCCCTTGAGCAGCACCCTGGCCGCAGCAATCTCGGTGGACCCTGCAATTTATCCTTCCACTATGGCATTCCGGGAAACAGGACCCTGCAAACAACAACTCACGAGTTTAACGCAGAACAGAGCACTTGCACCTCCCCGAAAAATGAAGGCAAACAGAAGAGCAGTAGGAGACCACAGTTACGGAACAATTTTGGAGGCAAAATCTGGATTCAGGGTATGAATTTGATCCGATCAGCCTTTGGAAAGAGTCTGACCTGCCTGGATATTGCTCCTGAGGTACCCTTCCAAGACCTTGCACCAACGCCTGGCATCTCGGAGAGATTTGTGTCAGGCCGTGCACTTCAGAAGCTTCCACAAAAATCATCATGAATCATGCTGGTAGTTCTCAGGGATTCTTTTGTGGTCACAGCCTCGGTGAGGGCAACATATGCTTTCGACGCTGGACGGCACAGGCCTAGACTTGGAGCACTGCGCCGCGGCGAATAATCCTAAAGCCAAGGACCACTGTCTAGAACCTTCGCGCTAAGCCCTACACAAGCCCATCCCGCACACCCAAAGCACTTCAATCAAGGTGAAGGAGCAAAAGAAGCAAGCTGTGGAGCTCAAAGACATGCTGGAAAGGGTGGCCATCCGCAAAGGCACCGTTTTTCCCTTTCGAGTTGAGGTTCAGGATCTTTGGCACGGTCAGGAGAGCGAGTAGAGGGCTTAAGCCATAGTTTCATGAGAATAGCTCGCATGCGGGACGTCTACGAGTACCCGAGCCCTGTGCAGTTCTGCAGTCATGCGAATCATGGCCCTTTGGTTTGATTTTTAAACAGAGCCTGGAACGTCGGGCAAGTTCCGTGTTTCCTGTCGCTTGACAGGTGTGTGGCAGAGGTATCAGGGCGAGCTTGCAGGAGGCATGGAGCGTGGGTTGCAGTTTCGGATTTCTCGCCGCTGCCGGAGCAGGGTAGTGGAGGTGCCATGTAGATGCAAAGGTCAAGAAGCCAAGCTGTCCGTTTATCCATCATTTTACTTGTGGCAGTTCGCAGGTATTCTGCAATTTAGAGTCCTTTATTGAGGTGGCGTTTCCAACCTCAGCGACAACGAGCTGGTGCGGCGCCTTGTGAAGGCTGGTTGGAGACCAGACAAGGTCTGAATCCCGTGGGTTCCGACATCGAAAGCTGTCCAGGCCTGGTACGATCACGTGCGCATCGTCAGGGACAAGCGATTACATGACACGATGAATCATCAAGAGCTACTCGGCCGCAATGGTGCACAAATTCCTTTTCTGCCGAGCAAGCCTTCCGGGTACTCCAGGCATGCCAACCTGTCTAGTCATCACGGCTACATGGGATAGCTTGCAGGGCTTTTGGCAGTTTTGGGGGAAACGAGACCAAGCGACCTCTCCATCCGAGGATGTTGTCCAGAATCGCAGGCCGGCTGCTTGGGACAGCGAACTCTGCGACTGCTGGTATCTGATACCCATTGAGGACGTGAATCAATCTCGCAGATGGAAGCTGGGGGGGCGATTCCCTGACGTTTTGCCCATGCAAGCGAGACATTCCGTGAAGTGAGTAGTTCTTTACTGGCAGACGGATCGCGTCGTGTAAAGTAAAGACCCGCATCTCTGCTGTAAGTAACGAACCCTCATGCATGCCCGCTCCATCATACGCTGTCGTCGTGTTGATGTTTATGCTGCGAATGACGAGGGTAGCCCGACTCGACGCTTTCTATGGATTATGATGTTCGAGATAGAATTCTTCTGAGCCCCGGCGTCGTGGGTGAAATTCGTGGGGTTGCCTGCAGAAACCGCTGCCTCTCCGGCAGGTTGGAAGCAGAAGCAAGATGATGCCAAGAAGCGCATCGAGCACAAGACGAAGATGAAGGCACGTGATTGTGCAGCGGTAGGCCCAGTAGCCGTTCGAGCAAGACGTCGATATGGTGCTATACTTGTACAAGACTTATACCACTGTAACGAGGAGAGTCTTTGTAGCCATGGTAGTAAACCTTCAGATTCGCAAGAGCTTGGCGTCTGAGTTGTGCTGGCGACAGACTTCCGGCAAAAGATACATCTAGTGCCGATAGCAATGTTCGATACTCGGAAGCAGTTTCGAAGCTTTCCGGTACGGATGCTGTTTTGTCTGCCCAAGGCGCTCATCAAGCGCAACTTGCTCGAGAGAGGGCCACTGCAGTATCTTGAGGAGATTTGCGGGGGTGCATTCTGTCCTAGACTAGACGGTTGAAGGCCATTGTCGCCACTGAGCATTCTCGTGTTTGCACAGCCCTCCCACTAATATCACATGCAGCCGAGCGCAGAGAAAGCTAGCAGTCAACTGAATGGTAGTTCGGCGCATCAGACTGAGTCAGGGTGTGAGGCCAAAGGGCAGTTCAAAAAATCTAGTCTTGGCGACGGCGGAAAGCCATTGACGAGCACAACCACAACCACCGCGTCCAAGGCAACAGCATGTTCAGAATGAGTACCAGCATCAGCATCAGCAGCGCCGACGATAATGAACCGCCATCGCCACCGGCTACGACGACGATGCCCAACAAAAAAGGACAGCAGCAACAACAAGGCAACGCCGCCTCTCGCCGCAACGAAGGGTTGGGGATTTTGGAAAACCATAGGTTTCTGCCAGGTTTTTGCGCAAGCACGTTTCGGGAAAACTGTGCGGAGGAGAGCAGCTAACAATATCTAGAAGATACCCTTGATTCACTATGCCTGTCATGAGGAACTGATGCAGCAAACGCAGATCTCTTTCAGCGGTTCCACAGGGCACGAGTCAGGTTCAGCGGTTCCACGGGACACGAGTCAGGTAGCTTTCAAACGATGTCTCTCGAATCACAATATACCAACGTGCTCAAGAACCCTCCCTTCCGCCACAGCATAAAGGCCAACTCGTGTCGAGCATCATTCCAGAAATCCAGAGTCGATCGTAAGGCAGGGTGCCGAAAGTGCTGCAAACACCGGTTACCATTGAAGTTGCTGTCTTCGCCCAGAGTGTTGACAGCACGAAACGGTCAGTCACGCAAAGTCTCGTACATACCAGCCAATTTGCGTCTCCGCTTGCAAAATACCGTAAATACCAACATGTTCGAGCCTGAAGACCCCCATCAGAACAAAAAGACAACAACGCAACAACTCGCTTTTGGACCCTAGTGACAAAAAAACCGACGAATGAGCAAAGTGTAGGCAGAGACAACGGGAACGCTGTAATTATCGAGGAATTTGGTCTTGCGGGCGGCCAGAAAGCGTCGGAACTACCTAGCATTTCGCTTTTGGCAGAAGTTACGTTGTAGAGACGACAGCACCAGAGCGAGAAGAAGATTGCAGTGAGAAGGAGCGAAAGTGCTGTAAGCACACAGAACTTTGCATGTCTAGAAGAGGCAAATGGACGATCTTAAACCCCTTCCCCCCCTCCCCCATTGGCCCGCCAATGACCTCGGCCGGATGGAAAGTGCAACACCTTCCACGGCGGCGAAGGGCGGTGCTGCCAACAACAATGACAGCAACAGCAACAACAGCAGCAGCTCCTGCTGCTGCTGCTGCTGCTACTACTACTACTACTACTACTACGACGACTACTAATACAACAGCAACGGCGACAGTACCAGCACCCCGGCGCCAGCACCGAAAACAGCAGCCGCAACGGCAACAGCAACAGCCCCAGCCCCAGCGCCAGCGCCAGCACGAGCATCAAACCCCCGCACCACCACCACTTACCATTACCACGAACAACAGCAGCGACAACAACGCTACCGCCACAGCGACTGCAAGAGCAAGACCAAGAGCAAGACCAAGACCAGCAGCAGCGGCAGCAGCAGCAGCAACAACAACACCACCGGCAGCACCACGGCAACACAATCACCAGCAACAAGAACAACAACAGCAGCTTCTACTAGTAGTACTACTATGGCTATTCCTAGTCTTACTGCTGCTACTACTGCTGCCGCTACTTCTACTACAACTACAACAGCTACAACAACAACTACTACGACGACAACGACGACGAGGAATGCCACGGCTAAACATGGTACCACAATTTTTCCCAAGGTCCTGTTTGGCCAAAGGAGTTCCGGAAAGAAGTCCTGTCAGGAGCAGAAGCCAAGGGATCCTCTCCTGCAGTCGACCTACGATGCCATCCAGGTCCTCTATCTGGAATATGTCTCGAAAGCTTTGGCCAATGTTTGACGAAGGCTGATGGCTAGATAGAAGTAACACTGAAAGCAAGATGAAGATATCCGGTATAGCAATATTTGCTCGCAGCCTTACTTATAGAAGGTCCTCATAACCTTTTACAGATAGCCAACCCTGAACCTGCAAGCAGGTTTTCGGAGGCGGGCTTGGGAGGCTCGCCTTTTCTGAAGACGAGCGTAGTGCCACTGAGGGTTTACAATCCTATCCCACCCTATGCACAGCAGCTTGCCAGTCAAAAGAGCTGAATTAAAGCCACGACAGCTCACGATGCCCCCTTGGTTAAGACACTGCCCCTAAACTATCGTCCGCCCACGAGGACACCGAGCCTTGGGCGGAGGTCACATGGCCCCGCTCGGCACAGCAAATTGAGCTGCTCAAGGTGGCCTTGTAGCTGCATTTTGCAGTCTAGTACAGTAGAGCATAGTACAGCGGCATTACATGCAGAGCAGAGCAGAGCATAGTATCGGATAGTTAGTATAGTATAGTATCGTATAGTAAAGTACGGTAGAGTAAAGTATAGTGTAGCACAATGTAGCATACTGTAGTATGCTGTGGTATGTTATTGTGCAAGATACTTTATGATAGTAGGCTGTAGTGTATTGAAACATAGTGTGGTATCTTGTAGTAGGTTTACCGTTTATGATAGTCAATTCGGGCTTTTTCCCTTCTTTCTTCGATAGTGGCAGGATTGGCCGCAGCCTCGCCCCTCGCCATACTACACGCTTCGCGTGTGGGAAGTGGTGAGGCCGTTTATGCACACTTTCAGGTCTTGGGGTTTAGGGGGTTGGGAGTGTAGGATTTGGGGTTACGGGGTTTAGGGCTTGCCCCTGAAGCGCCGCACCTCGACCCAAGGGTCGTCCACGACACGTTTAGGGTTTAGGAGCGCATATGCGTAGTCCAGGTGTAAAAGGAGTGTGGAAAGCCTGTTGCAAAAGAGGAGTGCTTAGGATGCGCTAGGGATCTGAGTTTTGCGAACAATTTCCCAGCACCCCGTTTGCAACTGAGATTTCTCAAACTGAGCGGGTGCCCCATGATGTTTAGTATGGCAATTCCGTCAGGCAAGCGATGAAGTGTTTGCACCAATGCGACATTTTGCCTACACCCAAAGCCCCAAACTCCTAAGCCCCACCCTGAGGTGGTATGCATGATGTGGCTCAAGTCTGCACGGGAGAGTTTGCATGCCTGCCGTAAACCCTGAAAACGAGTCCCTGCAGTGCAGGAGGCAAAAACAACGGTCCGTTTGATTTGGGGGGCTGGGGCACCCTTACCAGGGCCTTTAGGCTCAAACTATAAGATGCCCTAGACATCCCTAGGCTACCCCTAGACCCTAAACCCTAAACCCTAAACCCTAAACTGCCCTAAACCCTAAACCCTACCGTCAGGATCGAAAGCCCTGTAGCCTCCTTTGAAGCCGAGCTCCGGAGCCGACAGCGCCAGGCACGAACTGCGCTCCCAGGAGGCCGGTTCCCAGAGCCGCATGCTTCCGCTGCTCGGGAAGAGGCATCGCCCCAGGGTTTCCGTGTCAGGGTTAATTTTGGTCTTCATCCAGCCCAGGTGTAAGAAGGGCCCTAAACCCCAAACCCTAAACCCCAAGGGCTTGTCGTTTTCTGTCTTCAACTCCACTGAATTCCACGATGGGAGTATACGGCCGAGCCGTTGAGCTCGAACTTTGCCCATGCAAGCCCTGCTAGGCCAGAAGAGCCACCTACACCTTCGCCAGAACCAGTGCCAGAACCGTCTCCTCGGAAAGGGAAAGGATTGGGGGCATTTTCTCAATGCTGGCCTGCCAGCCTCCCTTGCTTTGGACAGTCTCAGCATGAGAGCCTACCACCACCTTGCTATGAACTATGCAGATAGGGGTGATTGTTCTTGCCGAGCTCTTAAGGCATGGCTCTGCAGTCTGAAAGCACTGCGCTCTCAAGCAAGAGTCTTTAGCCTTCGTTGATCTGTAGTTTGATCTGCAAAGCCGGGTGTCAAGCCGCAGTCGCGAGGACTGAACCGGGACAAGTTCATGTCAGGACTGCCTCCAAATCCCAGTTGGTGTGATGCTACGGTGATATCTCAAAGAGCTGCATTTGCTGCACATATTTGTCGGGCAATGTGACCGGTAGCGCAAGCGTCTATGCAGCGAACTGCTCACAATCACTGTTTGTCGAAAGCGAGATGCCCACTTGTTGTGGCTGTGGAGGCCGCAAGAATGTCTGGTTCCCATGAACGACAGTTCTTGACGATACCTGGGTCACCGAGTCATGTCGACAATGTCCAAAGGAGGGTCCGCCGCAAGCGCAAGCCCCTCCAGCACCGGCTCCGACGGCAGAGAGGTGCAAGCTGTGCCAGACTATCACACTGCTTAGTGTTCTGGGTTTACGGCTCCACTGCTTGGTTTGGCGGCCAAGAGCGTTTCCACCTTTTGCAACAGGTTGGTGGCCCTGTCACTTGTATGTCGACTCGCCGATGCAAAGTGAACTGAAGACTGTGGTTCAGCGTGACCAACCGGCACTCCTACCCAGTGTTTTCTGCGGTAAGATAGCCGCAAATGGCCTCGCCTTCCTGTCTCCTTCTGTTCTACATGCCTACCATTCGGCCTCCCGAGGTTTCTAGTTTCTGTTTGGTATAAAGCATGGACGCAGCCAGGGGCCGCCGCGGCCGCCGCCACCGCTAAGACTGGATGACGATGCAAGGCGAGAGAAGTTGCACCGTAGTAGCACATGATTGACCTGTTCTTCTTCCACCTGATGTTTGCCTTTCGCTGCTGCAATTACCGATCGTACTTGTTCTTCCTGGTTCATATCGCTGTAGATACTGTGTATCTACACAGTCTACGTCGCTCGCTGGCTTTCTCATTCCCACTCTTTCAGCCTTTCTCTTCGTCTCTCTATACGTTATAAACGAATAACTAAATAAACGAATAATTACGCCATATAAATAAACAAATAAGTATCTATATATATATATATATCTATTTTACGTACGGTGTATACACATATACAAATCTATGTGTTTATGTGTACATATAAAAATGTGTGTGTGTGTGTGTGTGTGCGTGTGTGCATGTGTGGTATTTTCGGGGCTCCTGTCGGGACATCTGCAGGTCAGATGCCTCTTCCCCGTCTTCCCCTCGTGGACGAATGTCCCCAACTGGAGGCGGCTAGATTTCTCAGTTCGAGACAACCTTCGTGTCAGGTGTATCGTTGGCGCCGCAGCCTCTTCACGTATAGCAGTCTGCCATGCAACTGCCCGGTGTGAGCTCGCTGCGCAACAGTCCAAGCAGTCGCACGATCGGCACGCAATGAAATTCGTCGGACCAGCCATCCGCGAATAGTCGTTGTGAAGCACGGTTGTTTTGCAGAGCTGTGGCTTTCAATGTGTCGTTGTTCAGTTCACGGGAAGCTGACTCATGCACTGAATGCTTGCAGAATGCGCAAGGTGGGCCTTCATCTTTATCCAGATTCCAAATCTCAGGATGCTTGACGGGAAGGTACCGTGTAACATAGGCATCACCTTTTGATGCAAGTGTCGGGCTGATCATGGCAGTCCCGCTAAATCGCACGAAGCAGCCACTCATATCCTATTCGTCGCCCTAGGATAGGTGGGTACATACACATAGGCACGAAGCCTGACAATTCTCATCTTCAATCGCAGAGTGCTACTGGGAAGCCGCAGGCAGTCGAGCCAGGTGGGGTTTGAGACTGCACTTGCATGCAAGACCGTCGTTGGTGCGTGTTACAGAGATCTTTCACTCATGCTGGTGGAAGCTCGGCGGACTCTTGAAAGCCTAGCACGTCGGGGCGCTGTCGACCACCTGTAGACGGGTTGGCCACCTGGCCCATTCTACGACCAAGGAAGGAAAGCTATGATGATGCGGCCTGGCTGCGAGAAATGAACCGTGCTTCCGACTGGAAAAAACCTGTCGTTCGCACCGTACCAAACTCCTATTCGGGTCAGCATGACTGCACAACTGAGGGCGAAGATGATCAAGATGAGGCCCTTTTCTTTTTCCGGTGGTTTGTGTTGAGTGCCCGATGATGTCGGCAGTTCTGAGTCTCTATCTGGAGCACTCCTACTGAGCCTCGCTGCCGATGGGCTGCCATCAAGAGCGGGGCTAACAGGCGTAAGTTGTGGAAGGATGGTGCAGTATGTCAGGTTTGGCGAAATGTGGGGCGCATTCCGGGTTTCTGTTTTGACGGCTATGCCAGTGGAGCCACGGGCTCGGCATAAGTTGGCATAAGGATCCGCAAGTGTTGTCAAGGGCAGCGGGCAACGTACGACATTTTTCCTGGCAAAGTCCTCTGCAGGAAGCTTGGGCCATGTCCTCCTAAAAGCCTTTGAGTGTCCTGGCCAGGACCGTCGGCGAGCTTTCCACGGGCGAGGTTTCACGCACAGACAATAGCGTGCCCGGGTGAGGTCATGCCATTTTGGCCAGCCCAGCCAATGCCGCCAAAGATGTGGAAATTCAAGCGTTTCGGCCGTGGTGTCAAGGTTCCGTAAGAAAAGTGGAGCGAAGATCTTGCAGCGCGGAAGGCTCCAACCTTGAACCTGTTCGGTCAAAGACGGTCGCTCGAGAGTTCCATTAGTGAGTCGCTCGCTGCTTGGGCAGGCAGCCTTTTGTTATACCAAATGTGTCGGCAGTGGGGACGACTGGGCTAGCAATCTCTTTTGATAGATAGCATCCAAGCTTTTCTAGACTCTTAGATTGGGTCGAAGTCCTGCAGAGGCCACTCGGGGTTCACAGACGTGCCTCTGTGGACTGAGTAGCATCTTCGGGCTGTGCTGCAGAGTTTTCTTATCCATCTGCCCTATAGGATGTTGCAGGAGATGTTGGGCTCTGGCCACTGGGACTTCCGACGCCCGAGGATGGATAATGCTTCCAGCCATGGCAGAAGGCGAAGCCTTTGCTGGCCGTCACACTGCTTCTGCGAAATGCGCAGAGGGCAAAAATATGCAAAATCAATCCTGCTGACCTGCGGAGAGCTCCTGCTGCTGCTGCTGCTGCTGCTGCTGCTCCGTCCTAGAGAGATCTAGAGAGCAAGGGAAGCTGCCACAAACACATTGTGTTGCTGTAGACCCTCCTTTGCATAGACAATGACAGCTCCAAGCTTGTCCGGACAGTTAGCAGCTCTCCTTCCCCCAGGTGCCGATGATGGCAGTTTCAAGATTTGGGACACCCGACACGTCGGTGCAGGCCGGTTTTGTTGAGCGCTCTTGGTTTGGAGAGTCCAACTCACAGAGCCAGGACCTATGGCCAACTTCAAATGGCACCGGCAGCCTATTTGCTCTGTGGATTGGTGCGGGGACCTGGGCGATGGGACTAGACTCGGACTAGACCTCCGATTAGAGCCTAGACATGCGATCAGTTCCCTTGGCTAGGTGTCTGCTAACCAGCTTGGTGCTGTGGCTTGTGTCCATTGTTGCCGTTCCCGGCGTTTTAAAGGGACCCGTTGTCTGCCATCGCTGTGCTTGTCGTGGTGACAGCAAGCCAGGGCGACCTACGACCCAAATTATCCCACCGTGTGCGGGTTAGGTTGTAGTCTAGGCTGGTCGCCTTGCCTCTCGTTGCTCGTCACTCATAACCATCTTGCATCCGGTCTGCATATAAGAAGCTCGCAACTCCTCAAAGTGACCAGGCTTAGCCATAGCATCGGAGGTAACAGACGCGATCAGGATGGACCGATGGGCCATACGCATCTCGTACTTGGCAGAGCTTCTACTAACCTTGGCCACCAACTTTTCGTGGAACATGGCATAGCTTCGGTTCAATAACCTGTCAGGCATGCCCGAAACGAACCCGAGTCAATCTCCTAGGTACAGTTTCAAAGAGCGGCGATGAAACCCGAAGAGCCCACGCTATACTTCTGAACGCATCCTAGCAACGAAGATGTTTCTGCAGGCATCCGACAGACGAAACGGTGTTAGCTGTCGCGTCCGCAGACGCTGCTCGGCAGCCACTTCGCGTCGGTTCGTGGCTTGCAAGTTTGGATTTAGGGTCTCGGTTTTACGGTAGAGGGTGTTTTGCGGTTTTGGGATTTCAAGGTTTTGGATTACGAAGGTTTTGCCGGGGATCATCCAGTGCCTTCAGTTGTTAATGCGTGACCTTCCCTGAACCTCTTGCGTTGGAGCCCCTAACCTTGCACACACGTGTTCGGAGGGAGCGATGCGTTAACACAGACAAAGATTATTCCGGTTTTTGGGGAATTCAGCAACCCCCCTCGCCTTCTTTGCCACTTGCGGACTCACGACTGGCGGGTTTAAGGTTGCCGGAGGTGGCCGAGGTTTCCATTTTTTCCACCGGCCATTTCTTAATGTTCAGGTAGCCAGGGTAGGACTACCGCGATGGCAATCTTGCAGTATGCCCAAGATCCTGCTCGAAGTGTTTAGGCCTGCGAAACTTCGAATGGTGCCCAACTTGCCTTGCCACGGCCATGCAAGCCTGCTCAGGATAGCGCTTCTCTGTGGGACATGGCGGTAGAGGCAGATCTGTTTGACTCAAGCCCCATGCAAGGCCGTGAGTAGCGCAGCAGTGCCATCTGCGATGTTCGAAGATATTTAGCCATAGGCCCATGCCCTTCTTAGAGATGTCTGCTGCAGGTGCTGCAGCAGAAGCAGCTCTCATAGTCAGCATTGCATTATGCCAATGCCGCCCATGCTCGAACCATTTTTTGGTGACGGTGCCTCGCTAGAAGCGGGACGTTGCGCTCTTGCAGTGCGTTCTGCATGTGTGCATCGAAGTTGAAGCTATGCGGGTTACGTCAGTCTAGTTGTTGATTCGGCTAAACAAAGCCGCCACTGTTCATCAGCCATGGAGAAGCCGTTGGCGCTGGTGGCCAAGCCCCTTGCTTTTAACAAGCACATGTTCATTCAGGGCTCTTGATTCTTGACGCTTGTGGATGTATTTAGGACAGGTCTTTTCTGCCTGAAGCTTCCGTGCTGCCGTTGGATGGCGTAAATTTGCAAAAGTAGTCCTTTGTAGAGCCTTGAGCCATCATAAGCTCTCAGAGCACACTCCCTACTCCTGGATCAGGAGCCCAGAGTTCAAGCAGGGTATCATGCAGGTGTGGCAGCCCAAAGGCCCGTGCTTGCCAGTTGTGCCCTGTTGCTGCCTGTTGCTCCTGGCAGTTTAGGGTTTTGGTTTAGAGTAGCCGCCGGGCGGGCATGTACAAGTCTGTGCAACAAAGGGTAGCCACCAGAGGCCAACGGGAAGGACAAGCGTAAACCACCCTTCGCCATGAATGCAAGTTTGGTCTGCAGCCACTTGTTCGGTTCGCCCAGATGTGCGGCAGGCATTGGCAGTGATCCACCCAGCTTGAGCGTCAAGGAAGTGCAGATAAAGATCCCAGGACTGACCGGCCGATCTCGGCAAAGCTTTGGATCGCTTTCCAGTTCAAGCCTTGAGTCTGAAAGATACATCGCAGCAGCGCCTGTTGTGAGGATGCAATGAAACGCTGACCTTGCCTGTCTACACCAACACCAAAGTCATTGAGGTCAAAACGCTTCTGGAGGAGTGGAAGTTGGTCGCGAATCTGTTCTGGGGGCTCGAGGCTAGTTATATGTCTTAGAAGTGATATAAACTTATGCACAAGTATTTATGGCTTCGGAAATGAAGTGCATATAGCTCTAAACGTGGCTGCCCATGAGCCCTCGGCATAAATGGAAAACCATGGGCAAGCTCCTGTTGCATCAGGCTTTGCACTGTACTCAGGCACTAGTCCTGGGCGGACGTCTGATGCCATGGTTCGCACCAGCACTTCCATGGCCAGCATTGGCATCAGTACCGCCATAGCACCATTAGCGCAAACGCCACCACCAGCAGCACATCATCCTTCATTCCTGGTACCACGGCCGCCAACAACGAAGCCACCATCAGTCATCATCACTGTCATCACCAGTACTACCCGCATCACCATGACCATCGTCATCATCATCATCATCATCATCGTCACCGACAGCAGCAGCAGCATCATCATCATCATCACCATCATCATCACCATCACCATCACCATCACCATCACCATCACCATCACCATCACCATCACCATCACCATCATCATCACCATCATTTCCCAGCCTCGCCTGTACCATTTCAGTCAAGAGCCGCAGCAGTGGTCTCTTCTGCTGCTTGTCCTCAGCGTGTTCTGCAGGGCCCGCTGTGCTTGGTCCAGCTGTTGTTACTTTGGCATTCGCAGCAGCTCCTGGAAGGACCGGCTGGGTGTCGATGCGGATCGGCTCCGACTGGTGTATAAGACCGGAAGCAACTACCGACAGCACCAAGACTGCGACGAGATCGCACGGCATGTGGCCACTTGACTGCGCTGCTGTGTTCCTGCCTTCTCTCTACTGAAGACTTGCATTTAGTTGTATTTTGCCTGCAGGTTCTTCATGGTGTCAAGTCCTTCCGTCGGGTCAAGAAGCACTACGAGTTCCCACATCTCATCATCGGCGCAGGGCACATTGGCCTCAAGTTTGCCATGACTTGGCTTATGGAGGGCATTACCGACTTCTTGGTGGTGGATCGGAAAGACAAGGCCTGCAGGGTTGAGTTGTGATGCGAGGACGGCAAGTACAACGAGTCACATCTCGTTTGGTTGCGCCTGTCGGCAAGCTGACGCATACAAAAGTGAGCTGCCGAGCGAAAACTCGGAAGTCAGATGCAGGCCAGAGGGAAGGATCAAGGCAAGCAGGGCGATCGCATGTTCATCTCCGACCGAAATCATTGCCATCATTCTTCCTGTGCACAGCATCCCAGGCTTTTGCCTCTGGAGTGCGTGTGGTGCCTTAAGCCCCGCTTCCGTCTTCTGTACAGTTGAGCAACCTGCTATAAAACTCATCCCATTCTCTGATGCCCTGTTGCTTTTTCGCCTTACCGCAACTGACAGCCCGCCTGTCGGTGCTGACTCTGCTGTCGCCGCTGTGGGCCTTCTTGCTCCTCCTCCTCCTCCTCCAACCCGTATTCCTGCTGCTCCGCCTGCTCCACCTCATGCTATGCCTCTCGTCCTCCTCCATGAAACTGACGACGACGATGAGCACCCCGGTACCCTGCTCCGTGCTTCTCATGATCGCCTCGTCGCAATGAAGATGCCAGCGGCGGTGCTGATGTGCACACCGACCGCGGCAAAACGAGGTGCTTCGCGGGGGGCAAGACAACAACTCTTCCTTTCCTAGATTTCGAGGTTCAGTAGTCACCACTCTGCATCTGCCGGGTTCGCATGTGCCAAAGCACCTTTGCCTGGCAGGTCGGGGGTGCTTGGACTGGCACCTCAGAATCCTTTTCTCTTTCTTCGTCGCTGAGTTGCCTGGTGACTCCTGACAAGGAAAACTTTCGAGCCCAGACGCGTGCAGCCGTCCCGCAACTTTTCCCGAAGACACGTGGTGTAGCCCTTGGAAGCCACTGACCAAGCAAGGCACCTCATGGCTGGACCAGGCTAATTCCACGTCTCGACTGCAGACGGAGGTGGACTGCGGGTTTCTTCTAAGTCTTGACTGCTACTGTTTCTTGGTCTCGTTTGTTGAGGTGTCTCTGGCACTGCCATGAGTACCCAAGTGCATGCCACTTCTTCACAGGACTTCCCAATCCGGTTCGTCACGACTACACTTCCGGGTGGCTTTCGGTCTTCAGATCAGTTTCAACAAACAGCTCTGCCCTAGACAGAGCACACGTCTCTCCTGACAAGGTGGGAGTCTACCACTTGGAGTACCACGAGAACCATGGTTGGCCTGATTGGGCTTCAGACAATCCATGGCCATCGAGGGCAGCTGGCTTGCAAAGCAAGTCACGGAATTATTAAAGAATGACTTACCACGTGCCCTGTGCGGGTGTTGATTCGCATAAGTGGGAAGCGAAGGCACAGTAAGACGAGCTCGGGGATACGTAGAGCTTCTGATCTGTGGTGTTGTAGGCTCAATTGCAGCCTGTTCCGGAGTAGTTTGGGCTGCATTGGGCTACTGTCTTTACTGGCGGCTTGCTTGGCTTCTCCGAAGCAAGCGAACATGCAGAGTTCAGGAAAGGACCCTTGCAGAAGACGCTCGAAACAAAAGTTCCCTACACTGGAGCAGCGACATGATTGAAAACCGCCTATATGAGGACAAGCTCCTCGAGCACTTCCAGGATGTGTCCGAACGATACGGACTTTTGCCCTATGTGCGGCTGAACACCTCCGCAAATTCCCTGAACGTCATCGGTGGCTCGGAGAAACGCTTTGCTTATCGCCCTGCCCTTGAGTGGTTTCGGACGCTGTTTGCGCCCCATCTCGGAACAAGAGTGGATGTGCCAGGTCGTCAGTTTTGCCAGGTTTCGGATTCCGAGCCCCTGAAAACCCCAGGCCCTCATCCCCAAACAGGCAACCATCCAAACTACGAGCCGAACAACCTTGCGCCCCACATGGGAGTTTCCGAAAATTAGGGGTACCTTATTTTGGGGTCCTTATATTAAGGATCCTATTATTTAGGGTCCCCTATTTTCCGAAACCCTCATATGCTGGCCTGAGGAAAGGAGTATTGGAGCCAGAGCTATGAAGTCACCTTGAAGACGAAGGGAAAGGAAGAAGAGGTATTCAGAGCAGGATCCGTGTCGCTCTTCCCTGGGAATCTGACGAATCCGAAACGTGTTACTTATCCTGGAGAGGATACTTTCGAAGGAGACATCGTGCCTTGACGGTCACACGTGCAGCGCGGGTATTCCATAGGGGTGTTGTATGGAATCAGTTTATGCTTCCCAGTCGTGTTCATGGTTTGTCTGGCTGCACGATATGTCATCTTCCTTCACAGCAATTGTGGATCGTGCTACCTTACTCCTACCAGGTGTATGGCATCAGCAGTGCTTTCGATTACGAGAAGGTTCGCGGCAACAACGTCATGATCGTCGGCAGCGGTGCCTTCGCGGTTGAGAACGTTCGAACTTGTGTGGAGCACAGTGCCAAGAAGGTGTGCCTTGACTGAGATTGCAGGGGGGAGACCGCGCAAGTCTTAGTGCATCGTGTAGCTTTGCTAGTTCTCTCCTTCTTGCACGGCTCCCTGTCTCCTCTTTGGTAGGGTCAGAGCATGTTTACAAGTGGCATCAGCCAGAGATCCCGCTGTGAGGTACATGGTCTGCCGCCGGAAGACCATCTCCATGCCACGGCTGGTTTCATGGTTTATCAACCAGGCGGATATTCAACCCCGCGGAGTAGCATTGTCACGCATAGCGGCATAGCTGAGATGGATGCACCTGAATATAATATACACAAGAATATACAGTATCAATGGTTCTTGAGAGCTTCCACCCGCCTTGGCAGGGCTGAAAGGCTGGACGGTCGCAGGTGGGGTTGGAGGGCGGAGGTCGTGCTTGAGGAGTGCTGGGCGTACGCCTCGGGGGTGGTGGGTGACTGGATGGCGGGCTGGCTGTTGAGTGCTTCGGTTAGATGCGGTATTGATGCCGCCCTGTGAAATGTTGCGACACTTGTAGATATGTATTTCCATGAGAGCCGCTACTGTACCGAATCCTGGAAGACTTGTTACAGCGGGTTACAGCTTCTTTTTACACAGAAATCCTTCATGACATGGCTATGTACATGAACGGTCGAATTGCACTCCTGGGCCAGTCCTTGCAAGCCATCTCAGCGAAGCTCACCCTGGATTCCATGACGCCGATGTATGACCCACTGCATGGGGAGGGGGAGGGTTTTGGGATCATCAGGTAGTTAGAAGCAGGGCAAACGATGAGATAGCCAGAACTAGTTACGAGTTGTCATCAGGTTTTGCCTTCAGCATTGTTTAGCTTGCAAGAAACCTTTGCAAAGTTGCGTATGAAATTTGGTAGCATTCAAGGCGGC